TGACTGTATGACAGTGATTGTGATATCCTTTTTGTCTAGTGACACCCTACCTCGGTAGAAGACGGCCGGTGGTGCTGGTACCTCTGGCGCCACAGTGCTGTATTTGGTGTACCAAAGTGACAGAATGCGAGGGTATACCCCAGTTAATGATGTTAGTGTCAGAAGTACCATAATAAGTTAGAGGCAGAGAGATGAAGGACCTATCAGTCTTCCACCACAGTAGAGAGATGAAGGGTTGGATGACATGACCTACAAGTCTTCCATCACAGTAGAGAGATGAGGGACTGAATAACATGACCTATCAGTCTTCCACCACTAACAATCACTGCTCTACACTAACTAGTCATTTGTGTGTCATCATACCAGAACACTTCATTATACACGAGCAAGTTGCAATTCACTGTATATACACAATTAGTTTTATCTCATTGTATATACAGTGACAAATATGATTGATATCAAGTTTAGAGGTAAAAAATACGTAACATTTGCAGCCATGATGACTCGCAGTTAATTAGCGCTGAAGTTAAAATACAATGAATTTTATGAATGAAATACCTGTTCAATACCTTTCTACTTTTGTTTCTAAAAAATAGATATTTCCGGCAATAAAGATAAACTGTTGCCCTTGTCTTATCTTGCTATCGGTATTGTGAGACATTTGATACTTAATAAATTGTGTGTTGTACATTTTAACAAATAATCTCACAGTAGATCGGCAGGTTATCTGTTGTTTGTCGTCTTCCCATATATCATCCACAGCACTATTATTTATACCAGTCTCCCAAGGTCATCCGTTGTTTGACATCCATCTATATATCATCCACAGCACCATTATTTATACCAGTCTCCCAAGGTCATCCGTTGTTTGACATCCATCTATATATCATCCACAGCACCATTATTTATACCAGTCTCCCAAGGTCATCCGTTGTTTGACATCCATCTATATATCATCCACAGGACCATCATACATATTAGCATGATCTACCTTGATAATTTACTCTCATCATCCGTCATTATCATCCATTATGTAAGTTCGGATATATTAAACATTATACGTATTTCTTTGATTAAAATAAAGATAATTTGACTAAATTTGAAATTTTTGGCTGGATGATAAACCTCAATTCAATATTTTTGTATTGGTTAAATCAATCATATTTCTTTCTTTCAATAATTTGTATGAAAATATTTTTTAATTAAAAAATGAAATACAGTAGGTTAGAAATTAGTGAGGCCTTATTTGAGTAATTTCATCTACTAATTTACTAAAAAATGGAATTATATAGTGCGATAGTAAGGCCTAGGAAGAGATATGTAGGCCTAACCGCAGCCGACCTGTGAATTTTAGGACTCACAATGGGTATAAACCCCTCCTGTTCCGTGATTTTTTTTTTAACCTCAGTTGTTTGGCCAGATGTTAAACCAAAGAATATGGTGATTACCTGTGGGTGTTTGTGGGAATCATCGCCCCTGTGGCCCGGTGACTCACCAGACTGTTTGGTTGACAGTCAGGTTGGTGATGCATGCAGTACGACACAGGCACCACCACCCGGCTGCTCACCCATTGTTTAAAGGAATTTATCCTTTTGAAAACAGAGGCTTGTAATGACTCCTAATAATGATGGCAGGGTGCCAAAATATCTTGGAATATATATATATATTATATATATATATATATATATATATATATATATATATATATATATATATATATATATATATATATATATAAATGTCGTGCCGAATATGTAAAACTGGTCAATTAGCAAGAACTCATTTAAAATCAAGTCTTTTCTAAAATTTGATCTTAGCTGGAGTAGACTTAGAGAGAGTTTCGGGGGTCATCGCCCCCGCGGCCCGGTCTGTGACCAGGCCTCATAATGGATCAGGGCCTGATCAGCCAGGCTGTAACTGTTGGCCGCACGCAACCCGACGTACGAACCACGGCCACGGCTGCCTTGAAGACAACCAGGGGTCTATTGGTAATCCCCCTTTTGTATGCTGGGAGGCAGTTGAACAGTCTTGGGGCCCCTGACATTTACTGTGTTGTCTCTTATCGTGCTAGTGGCACCCCTACTTTTCATTGCGGGGATGTTGCATCGTCTGCCGAGTCTTCTGCTGTCATAGGGAGTGAGTTTCGTGTGCAAATTTGGTACTAATCCCTATAGGATTTTCCAAGTGTATATAATCATGTATCTCTCCCGCCTGCGTTCTAGGGAGTACAGGTTGAGGAGCTTCAAGCTTTCCCAGTAATTGAGGTGTTTTATCGCAGTTATGCGCGCCATGAAGATTATCTGGACAGTTTCTAGGTCAGCCGTTTCACCTGCCTTGAAAGGTGCTGTTAGTGTGCAGCAATATTTCAGCCTAGATAGAACAAGCGACCTGAAGAGTGTCATCATGGGCTTGGCATCCCTAGTTTTGAAGGTTCTCATTATCCATCCTGTCATTTTTCTAGCAGATGCGATTGATACAATGTTATGGTCCTTGAAGGTGAGATCCTCTGACATTATCACTCCCAGGTCTTTTATATTAGTTTTTTCGCTCTATACGCTCTTATATGTTTAAAGATATATATTTTTTCATTTATGCTAATGTAAAATTAATAATTTTTTCGTTAGGTTCAGAATGATTTTTGCGAAATTACTGCATACACAAATTTTTGCTCGCCTTATCCGGCAAGAAAAGCGTTGCTATTTAAGCCAAAATTGCAAGTTTTACCTATTCGGCACGAGAGACACACACAATCTGTCGTGCTTCACGCTCTTAGAAGGAGTTATTTCAATGAGCCAATTTTATATGAGCTTCCCCTCCCTCCCCAGTATTCTCCATGTATAAATTATGATGGGGTTTTCTTGAGTTGCGTTTTACAAGTATAAACGAACGAATGAACCATGAACAGAGGCCTGGTAAAGAGGGGAGGGGGAACAAGGATAGTGAAAGATGACAATGGGTGAAAGTGTGGAGGACAAGATGGGGTCAATAATATGAGGGACTTGAATTGGTAAAGGAAATGGAATAACTGTATATGCTGCAAATCTGCAGTTTTGCTTGATTTTAAGAGGACTGTTAGTGCACAGCAACACTGCAGCAGTCCAGTCCAGTGTTTTCTTGTTTTGAATGTTTTATCCAATTTATTACTTGTAGCTGTAATAGTAGCCATTGTCCTGCATATTTTTATTCCTGCATATATATTTTTATATGAATGTGTGTGTGTGTGTGTGTGTGTTTAAAACGTGTCACGGGAGATAGAAAACATTAGCTCTAAGCCTTTCTTATTTTCGTGATTCGTCAGTAGCTGTGTAATGTTGCAATACTTGTAACATTGTGTGGGGAAAATTCTCACAGAGGTAAGGTAGGAAATCCGACACTGCCCCGTCCCGCAAAAGAGAAAGAGAGAGAGAGAGAGAGAGAGGCAGACAGACAGACAGACAGACCTGGCGCCACCCCCACATCATGTTCTTTCATTCCCCATGTGGGGTTTAGGAACGAAAACCCACATAAAACAAAACCAAGCAAGGACGAATGTCTACATATCCAGAGGTCCTCTTCAGCAGACAGAGGAATGCGTAACGAGACTGGGTATTTACTGGGGTAGGAAAAGTGGGTGGTTCCTTGTTTGTTGAGGAAGTTTCTTGGATCCTCAGCGTGCTTAATGATGATAGACAAAATGTTCACTGACAGGTGACTGATAAACACCACGTAATGATAATTTTACTGGTCCCTGCAACACTGACGAGCGACTTCCTCACAGATTTATGATATCGTCTAAGCGGGAACAAAATACGTTGTGAAGAGACAGAAGAACATTGGTACGGAGTAGCAGAAGCCACACAAGTTACTGAGAAAGATTTTAAAATACTCACAAATACAGAATAAATCAAAACGTTATGCCAACACGAAAAAATACCAGTGAAACTATGAAATAAAGCCTGATCGCTTTCGTGTGTTTACACACATTTTTCTATTCCTCTGAAGATGTACGTGTAAGCATGTGAAAGCGCTCAGGTTTTATTTCCTATTTTCACTGGTAATTTTTTAATATTTGTAATCACGCGTTTTATGGTGATTTTTTCCATTATATCAACATGTAAGAGTCAGTAGAAGAGCATCTCACGGGCGGCGTCTTTGACAACTTTCACTGATAAAATATAATGTTAAACATACTATATTAACAATTATTGTTCATTAAAGTCTGATTATTATAATAGGGAAGCGCTAAACCTGTAGGATTATACAGCGCCTGGGAGGGAGATGGAAGGTATTCAGGCTTAATTCAGGGAACTGGAACACAGATCCAATAACCTAGATCAAAAGCCCCTCACCTCATTAATATCTGAACTTCATTTTAGTTATAGGCTGAGTTTAACGTGTTCGACGCCATTATTCAACGACAGATCATGTTTTGTGATTAATATAATACCGAGTGTATCTTGTAATGTGATGGGTTCCACTATTTGTTGTTTTACAGCAAATTTCTAAAAGTCTTCTGATAGTTCGTTGATCCTTTGCTTCATCTGAACTACCTCCTGGGACGTCTCTGCGTTATGTAACACGGCGATGCCTCTCAGATCGCGCAGCGACCAAAATGCGTATGTGATTATACTTGTTTTACCTCAGAGAACTCTGTCCTTGATATTGGAAGCATTATATTTGTGATGCTATTTGCATTCATATGCATCTCCATGATCCTTGTGTCTCCCATTTGTGGCTGGTGGTGTGTGTGATTGATGGACATCTGTTCCAATTCTGTGATCCTGTGGGACTGGGGGTCGGGGAGGAGTACTGGGGAGGAGATCCTGCCGGGAAGGGTAGGCTTTATTGTTACATCTAATGACTGAATGATTGATTTGCTTGTGTCTTCTACAGGGAATGTTATTATTGTCAGAGGTAGCAAACAGCAATTTTTATTAAAAATAGTTAATCAGTATTGTGCTGCCACCCTACTCTAGTTTTACTTTCTGTGGTAGCAGCTAAAGCTATGTTTTTACCGTCAGGTTCCTGCATACAAGATGGGTTTCGTACATCAGGTAATGAACTCTGGCATTAATGGTATAGTGTGTTTACAAGTTGATGAGCAAGACACTTGTGCAACACCTGGATGTCTTACCCACTCAATGTTTCGTCTTTTCCAGTCTGATATACAGGTCAACTTTATACTGGAGACAATGGAAGAACTGAAGAGGTAATTTAAGGTGTTCAGTTCCTTAAGGCTTGATAGAAGGTGTACCATCCCTTAACCTTGACAGAAGGTGTCAGTCCCTTAGCCTCGACCGAAGGTGCTCAGCTCCTTAGCCTTGTTATATCTATAGCAGAAACATGATGAAGACGGAAAATGATATCTTTATTTCTACAAGTACATATACAGTCCTAGCTGACATCAATGACATTCTACTATATAGAAAACCCCGTTTTATGCAGAACATTTCGGGCAAATTAGTTTAATTTTGTCCCAGGATGCGACCCACACCAGTCGACTAACACCCAGGTACCTATTTTACTGATGGGTGAACATGGACAGCAGGTGTCTTAAATAAACACATCCTAATGTTCCTGCCGTACCGGGCAATTGAACCTCGGACCTCAGTGTGTGAGCTCATTGCTCTAGCAGTCGAGCTACTGGTACCTTATACCTTTTATTTCCAAGTAATAGCATACATATACCTGTTCAAACTCTCAACACTGGAATATCATACTTAGTGAAAGATGTGAGATAGTTCTTGGCTTTTAAGGTGCCAGTTTAATAATTTTACTGACCAAATTACGATATTGGCTTCTGTGCGTAAACTTAAGAATGCTTCTTTATATCGGCTGCAAACTTGATATGCTGGTATGTCTTGCATAAAGCAACATCCGAATTTGTATTTGCCTCTAAAGGTACAAAGTTTCGAGTTTCATTAATAAGAAGCAATAAGAAATTGGGATATCAAGCCAAAAAAAAAAAAAAGCTGAATGTTGTTATTATTATAATGAATACTTAGCGCTAAAACTACTGGGGTCATACAGCAGGTGAATGTAATGCCGGCTTAATTCTGATTTTTTAAATATTTGTTATAATCCAGGGGGAGTGTTAAACCCGTAGGATTTTGCAGCGCCTGTGGGGGGGGGGATGTGGAAGGTATTCAGGCTTAATTCAGGGAACTGGAGCACAGATCCAATTCCCTAGATCAAGAGCCCCTCACCAGCCTCAAGGAACCTTCCTTGACGGGTTTTTTTTAATTCTCTTAAAAATTAGTATTTCCGAAACTTCTTATATTTCAAAACATTAAGGTTATTCAGTCTTATTTTTAAATATATTTGAAGTGGTATGCTGTAGCATCTTCTTGCATTAGAAAACAACTATTGTGAGGGTCATATATACCAGTCTGTTGGTTTTCTTTGATATAAAAGCCAGAGTAAATTCCATGGAATATCATTATTGTGGAAATTACAAATCTATCAGTTTTTTTTTTCGGGGGGGGGGGGGGGAGACGTCGTGACATACCAGACATTGTATGAATCAGTTTATTTACATTGTCGCTGGTCCTTGAACTATGAAACGTGTTGATTTACAGCTCCTGAACCTCTTAGAGTTCAGGAGCTGTAAATTTGTAGCTCCTGTGTCTCTTAATCTACAACTCCTGGGCTACTGTGGGGGTTGATAACCAGCTTCTGTCTCTCCTGGGAGGGTTCTGCCATAGGTCTCTCGAGACTGAGCTGAGTTGCAGCTCCTGTGCCTCTTCAGGGTTTTGAGACACAGGTACTATGTTTCTCGAGTGTGTTGAGACAAGGGTGTCTAGGGTTGTAGTAGACGGAGGATACTTCTCATGAATCGTTCATCGATCAAGATTATGTATACTTGGAGGTATACCTGGGTGTTTCGGGGGTCAACGCCCCCGCAGCCTGGTTCATGACCAGGCCAGTGTTAATCTGTGTAGTGCATTTGTATAGTGTATGTATGTAGTGCATTTGCTTAATGTACCTATGTAGTGTATTTGTGTAAAATATTGTTTTTTCTCTGTTATTTTAGAGACTAAACCCTTGTCGTATTTGCCGAAAAAAATAGCAATTTTTACACATATTCAAGTGTTTGATGGAGAGGAGTTGTTGTTCACCTCTCGCTGGCTTCAGGAATACAGTTCCCGTGTGGCGAGGTTAAATTTCCTTAGTGACGCATCAGTTAAGATACTGCTAATGTGGCCCTCAAGCCGACATTGCCACCACCACTACTAAGTACTGTTATTCCAGCTGTGATTCAAAAAAAGTGCAGCAGATTCTGTAGCACTTCCCTTCTCTCGTCATTCATAACTGCAAGTTGATGTCATAGATTCAACCTTCACTGCGTTTAATGAACCTTAAATTAAAAATGTTACATAGTGCATATCTAAGTTAATTTACGGACGCATGTTCACCTGGTATGCAACTCCAGTGACGTGTTTCTTACTTTTTATATCCCTTCATTTCGTTTTCGTCACTGGTGTGTAGCCTCGGTTCTCCCAGACTGTATATATAGTAACCAGTATTTTTTTTCCACTTCCATGTTTTTTTTTACACTTGCTGTGTTTGAAGTCTAATCACTACTTGTCGGACCAGTTTTACGATGTCTAGGTATTCCTGTAGTCTTGCCTGTCCTCCCTCTTGTTTTTCCTCTTTAATTTTATATTATCCGTAACACCAAGGTATTTTGGTACAAGAGGACATCTTCTGCAACTCTGTTGTTAACCTCTAGTCCAGCTTCAGGTCACGACCTACCAACGCTAGTGGTCGCCCCCCCCCTCCCACCTGAGACGATGCCTTTAACTGCTGCACCTCTCCTTTAGCTCCGGCATGTGTCCATCATCCTGCCTCTGCTTCAGTTTCATCAAGACTAAGACTGAACACCTCAAAATTACCTCTCCAGTTCTTCCACTGTCACCAGTAACTAAGCTGTTTTTGCATTAGTTGGAAAAAGCCCGTGCGCAGGCGAAGTCTCTCGCCGATAAAGATATTTGGGTGCTACACAAGTGTCATATTCATTAATTTGTCGGCACTGTGTACTATTAATATAATAAGTGATGCCTTCGATACTATCTCCTTAGATATCATTATCTTCTTTATGTTCCTGAGGAAGCACTAAACCCTTAGAAGTCATGCAAGTCCTAGGTAATGGGAAGCAGGTTTGATCAGAGGAAGGGTAGCGTAGTTTCCTTTCTTCGACTCAAGAGTTCGTCATTAGTTTCTATGTGACTCCTTCACTGAAGGGCTGTTAGAGGTGCGATTTACGTACAGTAAGAACACCAGCTGTCCCTGGACACTACTCCAGAGGCTCGACCATCAAATATATAATTAGGCGAGTACAATTAGACAGAGTCTGTCTGGTGCCTAGCGGATGGAGGATCCAACCTGACAAGAGAATCCAGCCTCACAAAGAATCCAACTTCCACCATTCCTTGCGTTAAATGATCCATCCACACGGTCCACACTTCATATCTGAGAGCACCACGATCTCCTCCTCTTCGGGTATTTGTTGATTCAGCAAAGTGCCTTTCCCGTTATCTCTACCAGCTCTTCCAGTTTTTTTTTGGTGGTTTAGTTTTTGTGAGGAAGAGTATCAAATGTCTTGTTACAGCCCAATAATACGCAGTCCACCCAACGCTCTCTTCCTTCATTAATCCGTTTCCCTAAGTTTGAGACTCCATTTGCCTCACACTATACTATGTTAGCTTTGAGTTATTAATAACGTTTAGCTCCAAAACTTTACTCACAATTTTATACAATTATTGAGGAGTTAAAGTATATCGTAGTGTGCAAGTGGTACAAATACACAATGTAAGAACTTTGCTAGTGGTACAATTCTTGGTAATAGATACCGAAAAATTGGTTTTTAAAAACACGTGAGAAACATTATCGAATTTATTAGGAAACGTTTCGCCATGGAACCTTGATCAGTCCATCAGGAAGGCAAGGTAAGGACGAAACGTAGTAATAGTCCCTAGTCCTGAGCTCGTGTGTTTATCAACTTGTATTGTACATTCTACAAACGTTGATGGGCTAAACATGACCCCCGTGTGAGGGACTATTACTATTTCTTTTTGCTTCATGCTTCTTTCTACTGAAACATGTGTAAACCTAAATAAAATAATGCTGTATGTGCCTCCATTTTTAAACTCCACAAAAACTGAAACAAACATTAGGCCATTTATAAAGACGTTTCATAGTGAACCCTTATCACTTTTATCTCCCTTTTACCAATATGACACAGTGTCTATGTTTATTTAAATCTATTAGTACTTACAAACGTTAAAAACTCTTGTAGGCAAAGCATGTTATGGTTTATTTTTTTAGCCACTAAAATTATAAACCATGATAATAAATGTCATTTGGCATCCATAAAACACACAGCTAATGGTACGTATGTTGGCCCATTAAAAGAATTCACTGGATCCCATTTAATCTTTCTTACCCCTTTTATATTCATTAGATCTTATTAAATTTTCAAGGCACCAGGTTAAGTTTTTTTACCTCAGTAAATCACAAATTTATAATCTATTACAAAACTAATCTGACTTCAGCCTGGACAATGCCTGTTTTCTGTTTTCAAAGAGACCACAAATTCTTACTGCATGCAATAGTTCTTATATTTACTCGGATTAGGGAGTGCTTTCCTCGTTCGCACTAGGTAAGTTTACTTCGCTGTGTTAAGTTTTAATGGATTTCCCCCGGTGACGTTGGATCACCTTAATACGGAGGCTTGTTTGAGCAGTTTGTACACAGGATATAGGGACCTCTCGTCTCTGGGACATGCACCGTCCTACCAATGGGTACTTGTCTGATGAAGAAACCCTCATATTTTTATATTGTTTGTTCCTAAGTGGTGGTGATATTTACTACGTCTAAATCTGCCGTGAGGTGCGGCCAATAATTTGGAACGAATTATAGAACATGCCTTGTGGTGTTTCAATAATTATATTTTTGATTGCCACAACTTGCTGCTTTTGTAAATAGCTGTTTATGACTTCAACAAACTGGTAATGATAGTACGAATTATTTAGAAGAAAGTACATAATGAACGGTTGTAAAGCTTTGTAAATCAAAAAGAACAAAGTATTGATGGAGTTACATCTGTTGCCTTAAAGGCGGTTGTTGAAGTTTCACTGTTCTTTGTCTGTGAGCAGGCAAACACTTTTATATATTTTCAAGATCGAATATCAATCTAACCATGAAAGGAGTTGTAAACACGGAGTAATATTGTTGGCGAAGGACTGCAGGTGCTGTGACTGGCATGATCATCAGTGTGGCGTCCCATTTACAATGTTTGTGATCTCGGAATTTTTTGCTACGTAATTATCGCTTTGAAAATCTTTTTCATGACTTTTCTCTGCTATGATCTGTCGAGTTTATACTCCTAACATATTTATGTTAACGTAGTCTTAACGTAAAGTGCAAAGACTGAGTGATTCTCCTCAAAATCAATGCCACTGCACAAACGTGCAGAGGCATAGATTTTTGCCAAAAATCCTAGTCATAAAAGTTTTACGCTGTGATACTGTGAAGCTGTGTCACTATGAAGCCGGTATCACTATGAAGCCGGTATCACTATGAAGCCGGTGTCACTATGATAGTTCCCTCTAACTCTGAGGTGATCTCAAGCTCTCTACTGACACCACTAATTTATATTACTTGTCATATAAATTGTGTACGTCTTCCGAATATTTCATTATTTCCTAGTGAAGAGGAAAATTATTTCAGTATGTAACTTAAAATTAAGCAGTGCTGGGTACAGTACTTCATAGTGTCCACGATGGCCGACCCTGCCTCTGTTAACCCTGCCACCCCAGCACAGTCAAGCGTCTTACTAGACATGTTGCCAGGCTTGCATGTCTATTGCCTCACACACACACACAAATATTATATATATATATATATATATATATATATATATATATATATATATATATATATATATATATTTATATATTATATAATTATGGGGAAGTGGAACAGAATTCTTCCTCCGTAAGCCATGCGTGTTGTAAGAGGCGACTAAAATGCCGGGAGCAAGGGGCTAGTAACCCCTTCTCCTGTATATATTACTAAATGTAAAAGGAGAAACTTTCGTTTTCCTTTTGGGCCACTCCGCCTCGGTGGGATACACCAGTGTGTTGAAAGAAAGAAAGAATTAAATATATATATATATATATATATATATATATTATATATATATATTCCCCCACTCCGATATCAGGATGGCCACACTTGAGACGCTGGAACATGAAAATGGCTGCCCTTGGCTTTGGGGTCACTGAGCCTGGAACCCAGTTTCGATTTAGGAAGTCTGTTACACATTTTCCCAATGGTCCCAGGATCTCCGATCCTAGTGCAACAAATTGTTACTGATAATTTAAGTCCCTGTATTTGCTAAGTTTGTATTCTTCCCAGTGATCGGCAGATTCCTCCCTGTTGCCGATTGCTTTGACGGATACAGGTGTCAGCCAGGGTCGGCACACAAGTATAGTCCCGTGGTAAGAGTTTGCCGTTCTTCCAGGGATAGACGAGACATTTGTCGGTTTTCTAAATCATATATCCACTTCCAGGGATAGTGTGTGATCCCTTCATGACTGTTAGCTGGATTACGAGGAGTGCTGGGTACTGCTAGGAATTGGGACCGTCTCAGCTGGGCACCCTGCCAAAGCGAGGCTCCTCTTAATGATGCTGGCTATGACTTGTGCAGGTCATTAAAATTTGCATTATTGCATCGTGCACTGGACTATTTATAGATTTCTCTAACTCACAGTTAAATGTGGGTATATGGTATGTGTGCGTCAGTGTAAAATTTTTCATCGCACAGTGCGCTGAATAAACTTTTTTGGTCTAATTGCTCTGAAACTTTTAAAAAATTCTTTCCCACGCAATGTACTCCACTTCGTACCAAGTATTATTTTTCCCACAGTGTTCCACCACGTACTAGGTATTATTATTTCCAGGAAGTGCTCCACCACGTACTATTATTCTTCCCGCAGTGTGTTCCGTAATGTATTAACAAATATTATTCTTCCCACAGGGGACAGTTCGCTGTGGTGTACCACTGTCAACACAGAATCACGGGGGAAGAGTTTGCAGCCAAGTTCTCCTCCAGATGGCGTCTTGGTTCAGACTGCACTACGGACATCCTTCACGAGGTTGCCGTGTGTGCTATGTTGAGGCCGGCCCAGCGCACCATTCAGCTGCAAGATGTCTTCAGCACTGAGAGAGAACTGGTGCTGGTCATGGAGTAGTGAGTACCATCTGTTAACAGTAGTAGTTTTAAAATCTGGTGTTAATAGTTGTAGTGCTGGTTAGACTAGTGTACCATTCAATTAAAAGATGTGTTCAGTACCAAGCGATAACTGGTGTTGGTCATGAGTATTGAGTACTATTTGTTACTGGTAGTAATAGTCGTAAAGACTGGTGCTAGTAGATGTTGTAGTGCCCTATATATATTCATCAATATATTTATGCAATTATCTATTTCACGAACGCTTCGCTAAACTGCAAAAAGAAAAGAAATGAAACGAAATGCCTGACGATCAAGGTTGCTGCAATTTTTATTCCCGAGATCTTGGCTGAGTACTGCAAATTATGGAGACTTGAAAAATAAAAATAAAAAAGTACTGGAACAATAAAAATAATACTCCTTCCCCCCGCTCGTATGTATATTGGCTCCCTTTCCTTCGCGCTTATGTGTGATTAGTTAATGGTCCAAGTCTGATCGAAACGTCGTTAAAGATTCCATTCTCCTATGTGCGGAATATTTGTGTATGGTGACTTACTTACTCCGGGAAAATATTAAGAAAAGTATCAAACTGAACTGACTATTCAATGGAAGATGTCAGTCGAACATCATCTTCCTGATCGAAAGTATGAAAAAAAACTGAGGAAAAATATTAATGGAAAAATTAAATTATTTAATTAGCTATCATAAAGGCCACTGTTGGTTCAAACTCTTCAGACAGGAGACTTTTCTCCAGGATGTCTTCTTAAGATGTTATGAAGATATGTACTGTAGGCAGTGGTAGTGGGATATTAAGTAGATGGATTAGTTCCTGTTACTTCTGGTTTGCAGTGTCTCACTTCAGATAGCGAAGGAGAGATTAGAAATCGATATGTCCCACTAAGTCCCGTTGCCTGGGATCTCGCTCCAAAATATCGATTGTCTACTGTGGAAGACCACGCCAGCAGCGGAGCTGGCAGTGAAAAAAAAATACTGGCTACAAGATGGTTATTAAGTATAACAGTGAAGAAAGACAAAGGGTGGTAATTTTATTTCAGTGTCATTACTGGTAACCAGGTTAAATACAGAAAAATGAAACACTTTTCCCGGTAGATAACCTTACCTGATCAGGAGAAGAGTGGAGGTGAAATGATTTCTCAAACTCTCACCCGAACCAGGTAAGTTTAATACTACCAGCAGTAGAAACTAAAACTCACACCCGAAGAAATCTTAACTTTTTCAGCGGCCCGTTAGATGGCAGTGCGGGCGGCGACATTCAGTCCCTCGGAATCTGAAATAATCATTAGCCCAATTTACCGACTTTTCCCTCACAAAGATAGAGATACAAAGCGTCAATGATACTTTTTACAGAGGGATTGTAGCATCCTTAGTTTGTCTCTCTCAGTGTTGTATGGCCCTTAGCTTGTCTCTCTCAGTGTTGTAGCAAAGGCAAGCGTTTTTAACAGTAGCCTGTCATGACTGTTGTACTGTAGAGAGGGAGAGAGAGAGTGAGAAGCAAGTAATCTCGAGTACCGGTGTGTGATTGAGATGCTGCTTCGTTTGTACCTTGGTGAAAGAACTAAAACTTTACAGATACTAAGCCAGAGTTACTACCGGATAAACTGAGTACGACGTGACATATCCTGAAAAATAACCCTCGAAGAGCCGTGTTCTTTGTCTGAGTAGCAGAGGAGTCAGCATGTGACCTCGACGTACTCACACGCAAATATATTACCATTCTTAGATGTTGTACTAAGGAAGGGTTCACTGATGCTAGCCTCCGCCCACCCAAGGTGCCTTCCTAAGTGCTCCGTCACTCGTCTCCAGTCTCCTGCGCAAGTGCTTGTCATTATAGGCTGTCTTACATTAATACATGCATGCGCATGCACGCCCACGTACATATACACCCACATGCACACCCGCTTACTGTACATGCACATATGCCCCTCCATAAGCACAGAAAAGTAAAGAAGAGAAATCTATGAATGACTACATGGCATAATAAACGATAGATAGACTCGAAGATGTTGGCCAATACTGGGAAATAAGGTAGAGTCGAACTTTCGCAAAATTCACAGCCACAAAGAGCAGCGTAGTGAAAGTTTAGTGCACAACAGAAGTCACACATGACAGGTCAACAGCAAAATAAAGAAGAGGACCACTTCCTAGTATGGTTGCGATAGCAAATTGAGTCTTGTGTGCCTTGTGCACACAAAGAAGGTCCAGGCTTTCATAACGATGATGTCACATACCTGAGCCAGGAGCGGGGAGAAGCCTGGAAGACGAGGTAAGTGGGACCAGCAGGAAGACATTAAAGTGAAATAATGGTGAGCAACGCGCGCATGAGGTGCATAAAAGAAAGAGGGAAATATGAGGGGAATGGGAGCTGAAAGAAATTAAAACTGATAGTGGCTGCACTAAGGATTAAATGAAAGACAAACTGTCTGTAAAGAAAGAGAGAAAAGGTAAGAAAGTTTGAAAATAGAGACTGAAGAGAAGAAGACAATAAGTGTGGCAGATGAACAAGTCAAAGCAAATAGTGAATCTGGCTTATTGTTGTAATGGACCATTATGACAGGAAAATTAGATAAAATGGATCCTGATAACTATCTAAACAAGAGAAATAATGCCAATGATAGTATTATTCAAATCACTTGTCCCGTCACGTCTGGAATATTGTCCTGTGTTCAAGGTAGGAGAGGTATCTCAGATTGAAAATGTACAGATACCGAATGTTCACTGCCCACATAGTAAAACATTTAAACTACTGAGAGCACATCACAGTACTTGAATGTACTCTCTGGAAAAGACACACCTGATAATACGAAATGTACATGGAAGATATAGGAGGGCCAAGACCCAAATGAACACACTAATTACCTCACTGGAGGCGAGATATATGGAAGTATATAATAAATCCAGTGAAAAGCAGAGGATCAATAGCCGCAATAAGAGAACACCATGTCAACATACCTGAGGTCTAAACTCTTCAACCTACTACAACAGATATCAAAATTGCCTGAATAAATTTAAATTTTCCAAGAGTAAACTGGGTCAATACTTCTAAAGTGCCCAGTCAACCAAACTGTGATGGTTATGAGGACCAGAAAGCTGCTAACAGGCACGGTTCAGGAGAAAGTTGAGGGACATACATGTTTCATTTACCTCTTGTCTTCCTATCATTTTTATTGGTTATATTTAATTTTACTTAGTCAAGTGGGACTTCCTCACAGTTAGCGACAGCTTGTGGTTCTGGCTATCCATCAACTAGGGTAGACTCTCAGGAAAGCTGCGAACTACCGCCCCATCTCTCTGTTGAGTTGAATCTGCAAGTTATGGAAAGTTGTTACTAGTCTAGTTGGGACTTTCTCACTTGGCGAACATGCTTTGTCTCTGGTTCTCAAGTCTAGTCGCGTGACTCTTGTTGAAGCTGCGAAACGCTACATCAAAGATTCACCAGATGTTGATATGTGCCTTATATTATGTGGAAAGTATGTTAAATGTTAGTTTGGTCTGGTACTTGGAAACGAAAGACTGTCTCTTTGGTGCAATTTGGTTTCTGCAAGTTCCTGTCGACGACTGACCTCTTGGTTTGGATGACTGGTGACATCAGGAAGATTTCACCAGATGCCTTATACTTGGCCGTGTTTTTTACTCTGGAGAAAGATTGGCAGAATGTGGAGGTTTGGCGTCCTTCGCCATCTCCAGACTCTAGGACAATGGGGACAATTGTTCTGTTTTCTCCAATAGTTTCTGGCAAACAAGTTGTTCAAGGTGAAGGTTAGATCGTGCTGCTCCGAGTTTTCCCTTGAAGAGGGGTCCGACATGGCAGCATCTAAGCATCACGTGTTTCATGGTGTGGGATCGTGTTGTTCCTAACGGAATCAACGCCGCCTTGTATGCGAATCATCAGGAGAAGATGCTCGGCATCTACTCCTGAGGTGGTGTGTCTGGTGTCAGGTGGTACTGGACATCTCACTGTAGCCTGCTTTTAAGAGTTACCAATTTTCTATCATAAATTGGTTGATGTTTATTTTACCTGGTCCTGGGTTAGAGAACTTGCTCTCCACTGTGTGTTTACCCCTATGACTAGCATGTGACATTTTTGTGAGGGATGTATGTGCCTGACGTGTGCTTCTCATTCAAATATTCAGAATCGTTGCTTTGCGGGTTCTAAACATTCTTATGGTTCTCTTTCTCCGTTCTTGGGGAGAGGTACATTGACACATACTTCCCTGAATGTGAGCTTGTGCTTTTTCCAGGCTGGAGTAGGGCTGCCAGATCTATTTCTAGGCCAGTTCTTCCCTAATGCGCTTGTTAAATCCTGTCCGTTATTAAGTGATACGGTTTTGCATGGGTGTACTCAGTTCTTTTCTTGAGCGTCTCTGTGTTGAGTCTGATGAGCTTTCGTTGGATTTCCACCACAGGCAGCTAGGCCTACACTAATTTTGGGTTTGATGTTCACCTAGAAACCCAGCTTAAGGTGCGGTCGTCAGAGAGAGGAAGCCCTTTCTTCATCGTGCTAGGTTTCTGTACTGCTTGGTGTTTGGATGCAGTCTGCTCTTCTGGATTGTGGCCTTTCTGAGTTTGCAGTCAGAGAAGTTCCATTCTCCTTGCTTTCTTTGGACAAGAACTGAGGTACATCTTTATAGACATAGAAGGAAAACCCTAAGTGCCGTGCTACGGCAATGACCTTGTCTAATTTGAGCATAATTTTGTTCATGCTTCAAGGATAAAGGTTTTTACTGATGGATCAAAGACCGAGGATGGTGTTAATGTTGCTGTGATAACTAATGAGGACTTAAATTGCACAATTGCCAAACTGTTTGTATATGTTCACTGCGGAGCTCAGAGCAGTCCTCGGTACTCTCGTCCTGATAGCAGCCTTAGGTGGATATCAGTTCACTGTCTACTATGATAACCAAAGCATTCTGCCCCTGTCTATTCGCTGATTAAATAGATGCTAGTGGGTTTCTTTCGTGCCTAACAATATTTTATGTAAACTACATTACTGCAGAAAAGAA